GAACCTAATCACTCGGTTGAAAACCCAATTTTGAAGTTGAAAGAATGAAGATTCGTTTATGAGCTTACCGGACTTACCCAAGGAGCAAGCATTATTTGCAGTCTTTACATGAAACATATGAAAATGGCATGAGTGTATAATAATTAGCCTAAGGTGATGTTGAGCTGCAGCTTGACGCCCATGGTAACGGGGAGGAAAATAGGCCATAATTACTTTAGAACTATTTAGACGATTTTATTGCCTTTATTAACGAAGAGTGCCAAGAGTAAACACCTTGTCTCTCCTAGGCAACTCCACAGTTTCTGAAACTAGGATACCAGTTGAAGGTCAGTGTTTCTGCAGGAATACAAATAACTTTGATTTATTTTCTCCACTTGGCGGAACCTTCTGGACCAGGTAAGTACATCGTACAATTTCTTTTAAGAGGAAGCATGAATTCGCCATCCATTAGATGCATTCACTCTATTTCTTTTAAGGTGGTAAGGGGACTGGTGATTGAATTTTCCCGCAATCAGATAAGCAGACCCTTCGTTTCCATTGCATTTTTAATTGCCTAGTTTTCCCAAAAGATATTCTCATTCAGGCAGAAGTGGAATGCAGTGGGACTCGAACCATGCCAGGGCAGCATATAATCTCAACACGCTAATCACTACGCCACATTGCCAAGAGTGCCCTCACGTCACAGGGCAGATGTGAATTTCAAGGAAGGCTAGCCATTTTTCCATACCACATTCTGTGGTGAGAGTGTCGATGAAGCAATTTTGTATTTGCTTTAGCAATCGACTACATTACTTAATCCTTGTCGCTATAATGAGCTGTAAATATATGCTAAAGATGGCACCTCTCACTGATGCTGTCGACTATAATTCCGGCAAAACTTTTGGAAATGTCCCAAGTCAACAGTCTAATTCTAAAAATCCTCATAACTAGTATGGTACAGCACGCAGGACTGGGTACATTCTATAAGTAGCTAAAACGAGTTAAAGCCTTTTTGCAAAGCCAGACAGTGTAAAATTCAGCGGAAATATAATATCTACTTCAATCATTGTGACAAAAGGTAGCTACCAGTATCCAGCTACCCAAATACGTTACTTACAGGTGATCTGAATACCTGCTTATAAACGAAAAATAAATAGCTATCATTTGCCGAGGCTGAAACACCACTTGGATGCAAACTACAATGAATTGTCTTAATTGACTTCATCTTCCTCTACAACACATTGGTAGCCAACGCTTAGAGCCTTAGTTACGACAGATCAAATAAAAGCGAAACTTGAAAGCAATTGTCATCCCAAGAGCTTAGAAGTGATGCAACCGAAAGCCATCGGCACAGTATACACGTTTCGAGATGGTAGGGGCTTAGTAGAGGAGGGTAACAGGAATTTGTACTCGTTTCTTCGGATTGGCTTCGGGATAACATGTTGCCGACCGAGCGTCAAAGCAACAAGTGCGCATCAAAAACTTTGATGCTGCTTCAAAACTGGTCCAAGTAGAAGAGAGATCTGGCGGAGGAAATAAGTCTGCCAGAATGCCAATGTCCATTAGAGAGTGGTCATTTGAACTAGTGCTGGCGCTCAGCCCGGTACAAAAGACAAGAGTTTTTCGGAACCTTTTTATTTTACTAAACTGACAAGAGCGCTGAAATATTTCGCCTTAGTCCAGTTGGCAACAG